TCCCTGTGCCGATCGTGGATGTGGGCGGGCGAGCGGGGAGGAGGTGCGGCTTGTGGAGCGTGGATGCGGCCGGGCGGGTCTGGCAGCGGCGAGCGTGAGGTGGGGACGAGGTGTGGCGCGCAGCGTGTGTGGAGCCATGAACAGGGCCAACCAATCGGAAGCCGATTAATCGATGAATGAAAAAGTTGACAAATTATGTCGATTAGTTGCTGCAGCCCTAATGTACTTTGGACGGTATTGAGGCATAGAAAGCTATTTACTTACGAATAGTGCTCATGCATGTGTAGACTATGTGCAAAACTTGGTTTAAACTGTTTTTGTCAAAAATCACCTTCTATATGGAGTGAGCATTCTGAACCTAATAAAGTTGGACTGAAACCACTTGTCTCCTTTCCTATTCATCAGCTCCTTGTGTCAATGTATTAGAGCCTTATGGGCTTACGGGCCTGCCCAGTCATCTCCCACTCTGAATCATGCGCAGTGATATCATTTACATTAAGCTGACCTCTTGAATAAAAACCCTCTTGAAGATATCAAAAGCGATTCTTGCAAGTTTAAAGGCAGAAGATGGCTTTCTATCTATGAATCTTATTGGCACTCAGGAGACTTTATATTTATTTAGACACCACCGGAGCTAAACATTTTATTCACCATTGGAGCTAAACATCTTATGACATTTCCGTGATGGCCGTAATATGAGCAGCTTGACTGGGCAAGGTGGAGGATGTGCAAAACAGTGAGGGACTGAGGCGTCAAGCAGTTCCCAAATCAATGTGTTAGAAGCACAGTGCATCTGCCAGGCACTGTGCCCATGTGGGAATAAAAACAACCAGCATGTACACAATTTCAAATGACTCAACATCACCGCTCACACAGCACTAAGTGGTACAAGTCATCTGTACAAGGCGATAAACCAGCAGCCCTCTGCTGAACCGTTGTACTCACCGGGCCTTTCTTTTCCAGTGCCTTTAGACTCTGCAAACTTTTCCAGTAAGCTTTCTACTGTGATGTTGGCCATGTTATTAATAAATTCTTCATGAACCTGAAAAGAAACAATGCAAAGAATTCATGTCTGTGACTTTTAAAAAGAGACATCTTCATACATCACAAAGAAAGGGATATCACAATGGCATATGCACATGACGTGACCCTTGCTATTCCATCTTGCGTTCTTAGCCCTCCCCTCTAACAGTACCTGTGCAAGGAGACTGTTGTCTTTACTGCTCTCTCGTATGCATCAAAGCTCACTAGCAATCTCTTGATAGCAGTTGTGAAAACAAAGATGTGTAAAACACAATTTTATCTTCACAAGTCTGATTTGCAGCCTGCGCTCCCTGTGTAGAACATTATCCCTCCTTTCTCAACGGGCAGGAGTTATTTTTTTCCACTAGCTGACCAACAGAAACTTGCCATGGGAACAATATGGAGGCATCGCCTGAAAATGCCAGATGCGTGCCTATCATGCTGATGTTATGGTGTCAATATTTTTTGAGTCCATAACCTACTTTGAGAGGAATTCTAAGTTTTCTCCGACGAATTTGCTGCATGCGTGTTCCATGTCTGATTTAAAAAGTATAAAATGCAGACAAAGTCAGACAACTAAAAGATGTCAGAAGGAAGCAACCGGCAAAAGAATATTTACATGCTCGACTGTTGTTTGCCGATAGCTTGATGCACACTAAAAAAATTATTTGTTTACATCTTGCTGCTGGCCGTCGGTGGGCAGCAGAATGTTAACAATGGGGAGCAATAGACAGCCTGCTATTTCAAATTGCAATAACCAATAGCAGGCTGGCTATTGTACCGGCCCACTGAGCAGAGCAGTGGACCTGAGGGAGAACGTTCTCTCTCAGGTGCGCTCCTCTGCTCGGTGGACAGGGTTTCAATTGGTTATCCCAAATTGCAATAGCCAATAGTAGGCTGGCTATTGTATCTGCCCACTGAGCAGAGGACCTGAGAGAGAACTTTCTCTCTCAGGTCGCCTCCTCTGCTCAGTGGGCAGGGTTTCAATTGTCAACCTGCTATTGGTTATTGCAATTTGAAATGGCCAACAGCAGTCAGGCCTTTGCTCCTGGCTGCTTACATTCACCTGTTTTGCTGCGGAAGCTAGCCGGCAGGTAAATGGGACAGTGGGGGAAGGGGGATACGGTGCTTGGGTGGTTGCTTGAGAGTTACTAATAACTCCCGAGCAACCAGAAACTACAGTTATCTGGCATCTACCGATCCCCAGGGGTGCAGCTGTGATAACTGGGAGTTTACTGTATTTCACATGGTACACATGGTAATGGCTGTTCATAGACATTTTATCTTCAAGCCCATATAGCTCTATCCAACTTGTAAGCATAAAGGAAACCTGTAACTAGAGAGCATTGGGTGGCTACTACTGTTGATTTTTTCTGCTAGAAAATTCTAGGAGTCTGGCTGTACTGCTGGTGCTCTGCCTTCAATACTTAGACATCCGTATCTGCATATTTGTTTTTGAGTCTGTGAGTCAAACTGTTCTATGAATTTTCTAATGTGGACACTTGTTCTGGGTCCGTAATCCAAAAACGCCAGAAGAACTGCCTGTACTGGGTATCTTCTGATGCCTGTACCTAAAAGACAAGTTCAGTGCAGGTGACATGCCATTGAGTGTGCAACTGCTAAAAATGATAGATAAAGTTGAGGAGTGAGGGAAGGCGGGGATGGGTTTGGCTATGCTAGGTCAGACACTAAGGCAAATAATCTAGACATGTTTATGGCAAGAGGTAATTTGGAAAATATACTTTTTGCCAAAATATATACATTTTAGAAACTAAACTCACAGATACATATGAAGTAATAGAGTCTCATTCAACCCCACAAGATTTCAAGGTTCAAAAAATCATTATAGACACTATTACGTGAAGAGTAATTCCAGACAGCAATCAATAATATATCAGTGAGCAGCTAATAATCTTATCCAGCAAACACTCTGACTGTGCTTAAGTCAGAAAAGTCACTTAACTTGGTGTAGTTTCCTCCAGTTTAGCATAAGTAGCCCATCCCAGGATAAGCTGCACAACAAATGCTGACGTACAGATACACAGACGCAGTCTTTAGACCAGGTCTGCACTTTAAAGCCGAATTTAAATTTCAGTTTAAAATCAGCTAAACATATTCCTGCTGCATCATTACAAAACGTGTGCAAAATCTTACAGTCTGCTTTATTTAGGAAGCGGCCACAGCCTGAGTAGAAAGCCTTTTGCACTACCATCATTCTATAGAGCTGTCACAGCACCCTTTAAAAGCATGCAAAATCTTGAGGCACCCCAGTCTAAAATGTAAAAACTTAAATGTGCCTGCCTTGGATTAGCATCATGCGTTTCAATGGTGCTGATGGACGGCTTGTCTGCACCATGGAAATGCATGAAATTATGCATTTGCATGGTGTTCCCTGACAAAGCCAGAGGGCACACTAGGATGCCACGGCATCTTGGCTGAGAAAAACTGCTATACACAAAGACCCTTGCTCTCTGTGGTGAAGCAGTGGTCTCTCTGCAGTTGTCCGCCATGGCTCTTGCTGAGTCATACCCATAGCTCTGCTATCAGTAAAGTTAATACTTCCTGCAGATTGCAAAGCTCTAGCTGTGACTCAGGTGGTGTGTAGGCTATATAGCAAAGCTGGCTATACACTGGTAGAGCGGAGTGCAAATTAAATATTGAAACTCACCTGGCCGATCTGAATGTGAACCTCACTGACAGAATGAGAAAAGCAACCAATGATATCTTTAACCCGAATGAGATGCGCCTTTTCGATGTCTTGGAATTTCTGTAAATACAAGGAAAAGTAGCAAAATGTAAAAAACATATACACATTATTCCTGAAGTATATATTTTTTTGCATAGAGCAGAGATTCTGAAGTCAGCACACTTAAAGTGCATTGCTGCGATTTTGTTTTCTTTAAAGCAGCCACGGTGATACCACTGCTTTATAATATACCTCTAATATGGTTCCAGAGTCCCCGTCACCAAGCAAGTCAAGGTTGCTGCTAAATAAATCTGTAATACTAAAAAGTGTTGAAAAGTATCCAATAAATGTGAAATTTAGCTTAAGTATAAGGCTATGTTAAGATCTGAGTGATACCTGGGACGCGTGTCTCGGGGCTGCGCGATCGTGTGCTGATGCACACAACGGTTGCTGCGCTGCCCCATTGATTTCAATAGGGTTAAATCCGCGCGGCAATTGCTGAAGTACATATACCTTTTTTTGCTAAACACGAAGCGTGGGTGGAATCGCATGATCCACACGGCGCGACTGGGGTGTCATTAGAAAATAATAGCACTGCTAAATAACGGGCTGCCCGGTGACCGCGCGGCAATCCAGCTCGGTTTTAACGCACGATTGCCGCGCGGTCATAGATTGCGCAGGTGTAGACCTGGGCAATCTGGGACGCGTGATCATGCACAATTGCACACAGTGATTGCCGTGCGGCCCAATTGATTTCAATGGGGTTACATCCTCATGCCTATCGCAGAAAAAAATTACTTTTTTTGGGGACACACGACACGCAGCTGTTTCGTGTTCAGTTGCACAGGCGAAATAGCGGCTGGAAACCCTGTGATCCGTGACTGGGGTGCCATTAGAAAATAATGGCACTGCCAGCGAGATCAGCGGTGGTGGGTGACTCCGTGACCGCACGGCAATCCGCGCAGTAACATGCACGCTCAGGATCGGGCGAGTATATAACATTTTATTTTACTCCCTAGACTAAAACTAGCAGTTAACCCTGGCAGGGCGGGAGTAGCCTCACTGCAAGGGTTAATAAAAATTGTTCTTTAACCACCTCCGGGCCGGCCGTAGTAAAAAAACAGCCGGCCCGAGCTCTCTAGATCTGAGCGGGCGCGCGTGAGCGGGAAATGGCCGTTTTTTAAAAACAGGCAGCGATGCCTGTCACCATACAAGCGATCCGCCGGCTGTAGAGCCGAGTGATGCATATAAAAACAGAGGCGCTGCCATACTTATTTAGGGCATTTACTTGTTTTGCCGTTATTGATAATGGGGCTTTCTCCAATAAAAAAAAAATATAACACTTTCACATGTCTTAAAACTACTAGCTTTATATTCTCCTCTACAGACCAGCGAGTGACATGAACCATGGCCAATGTTGGCAACGCTCCTTTTTCTGACAATAGATTTGTAATTCTGGTCAGCCAGTCACATGATCTGAACACATAACTCATGCTGCTTAGGGAGAAAGGTGACACATAGTTCCTAATTAAGCAAATCTTCTTCCTCAGTTACCAACCTAAGCCTGTGAGTATAAGTTAACGCAGAGGCATATACATAATTGTCTATGCAACACCATCAATATTATTATTCAGTCATTTTCTAACGTAAACTGTCCTTTCCACCAAAATAACTGATTTTTTTTTAATCCTTTCTTTGTATCAGACTTATTTACTAGTCAAACTCTGTTGTACTTCCTTTACATTATATTGCATGAACTGTCTCACTTCTTTCCTCCTTTCTGATCATTTTCTCCGCTTCAAGAGCTAAATCACTGCTCCCTTTTCCTTTTGCTATTCAAGTCCAACTTTTATTTTCATATTGCACAGTTCCCATCACTAAAGTAAAGTGATCCTTCAATATGTACTCCACGGGTTCCACCAGAAATGGTGGCTTCTTCAGGGGTTAAAGTGATATAGCGGATGTGCCTTTGTGCAGATTCAATGGTATAATGCTCCAGGAAGCAGTAATGCCAAAAGTGCCATCTTTCGGCCGAAATAGCGGTGCATCCCGGTTTCTCTCTTCCCCGCTGGGCGCTGCCATGTGTCCCCTCCAACTACACAGCGCAACTTCCAGCGGGGAGCAGAGAAACTGTCACAGGAGGCCAAGCAGTGTGGGGGAGGAGAGGGATGTTAGCGGCCGGCGTCTCTCCTCCCTGCACCGCTCAGCCTCCTGTGACAGATCAGGAGAGTGGCTGTGTGTAAGCGGAGACAGCTGTCACAGAAGGCTGGGCAGGTAGTGCAGGGAGGAGTCAGCTGTCAGAAGAGATTGAGCTCTCCTCCCCGCACTGCTTGCTCAGCCTCCAGTGACAGCTGTCAGGATGGAGAGCGGTTACAAGCAGTCAGTGATCAATGATCGCTGAGTGTTTGTAGATAATTGAGGAGATAGTATGTTTACTATCTCCTCAATTATGAATGCATGGGAGTGATCTACATCACCTCCCGTTCTTTGAGGATTGTGGACATGGCGAATATACTATCTCCACAAGTTATGAATGAACATGAACTCTCAGTATAGAGGCTTTCTGTTCATTATAACTGGGGCTGCAGAAAAAGGAGATTGAGGATCGAAGACTGTGTTCTCCATCTCTTTTAAAAGGGAAATATCAGGGATCTGTTAAGACCCCTAGTATTTCCCCAAAGACCCGACAGTAAAGTAAAAAATAAATTAAAATAAAAATAATTTTTTTTTAAAGTAAGAAAAAAAAATGTCAGGTTTCGACCTTTTATTATTTTCCGTTTTGAAAATTTAATTTCAGTGGACCTCTACTTGCATTTATTCATTTTCCTGGAGTTCTACTTAAAGTGACATTAAACCCTCAGATTTTTTTACATAAACCAATACTGTAATGCGTGCCTTACTGTAATCCATGGTTGTTTCCCTTCTCTTTGCTGCTCTTCCTTTTAAATCTGTATCTGTTCTCATGCTGGGCAGAACTTCTGTTTTGCAGCAGACTGCCTTGTCTCAGGAATGGATACATGGTGTCTGTGTGTAGGTTTGTATAGGCTTGTAACCTGAGCCAGCACTACAGGAAGAGGCCCTGAGCTGAAAAGGGAAGTTCTCCCCAAGCATGAGAAGACATGAGGATTTAAAAGGAAGAGCAGCAAAGAGAAGGGAAACAACCATGGATTACAGTAAGGCACACATTACAGTATTGGTTTATGTTAAAAAATCTGAGGGTTTAATGTCACTTTAAAGACTGCAGTAGAGAAACTCCCCCGGTTTACTGACCTGGTATTTTGTTGATTTCGGAAACAGAGCCATGATATACTGTAATGTGTGTAAAATATGTGTGTATATTAACTCTATGGGACAAAAGTTGCGTGTACACACGGCAAGCACCCAACTTAATTTCCTAACTAGTGATTAGCACTGCACATGCTTAGACAGCGGAATGGGGGGTACAGCAGATGAGGGGAGCAAGGATGTTTTAACCAAAATCTAGTTACACTTTCAATCCTCAGATATTATTTATGTTGTTTAAAAATACTGTTAAGCGTAATAAAATGTTTACAACTGCAGTTTGGTCTACAAACACTAGATGGCATACAACACACAAGAAGTCATCTCTCATACAGTCTGACTACTGAGCACACAAATCCCTTTTAAAGTGACACTAAACTCAGGAGTTAAATCTTAAAAGTCCATTCAAGTACCTTATTAACAAAAATGTATCTTACCCTGTTTCCCCGAAAATAAGACCTACCCCAAAAATAAGGCCTAGTGCTATTTTTGGGAATTGCTAAAATATAAGACCTACACCGAAAATAAGACCTAGTTGTGACCATTCCCAGGGTCAGTGGTGGCATAAGGGGGAACTTGAAGAGCCGCGGGAGAGAATCAGCGGTGCCAACGTAGCCAGTGCTAGAGGAAGCAAGGCGGCAGCGGAGGGAGCAGAGCCGCATAAGCCGATGCCTCCTCTATAGCGCCGGCTCCTATATCATGTGGAGTGATACCAAATGCACTCCGCCTGTGAGGAATTGATAGCAAAAGCGCACTTCACTCATTCTGGCCAGGGATTGGTTACGAAATTGCTCTTGGAAAGGTACGGCACCCCTGACTGCCATGATCACCATATTCTTAACTTTGCCACTCACTCCTGTCTTGTAAGTCTTCTACCGGTAATAAGTGTGGATTGTTGTACATTAAAAAAAAATTAAGACCTAGTGCGTTTTTTTTTGAGCCAAAAAATATATAAGACAGTGTCTTTTTTTCGGGGTTTACCACTCAGGTGTAGATCCTCAAATCATCTCTGAATTGGTGCCGACACTGTCCTTGCTTCTGTACGGGTGGATAGTTGTGTTCGAAAGGAAGGACAGTTGGGAGCTATGCATAATGGTCAACTAACCAAATTGCATGAGTAGTTCAAAACATGCATGAATGAAGTAGTTATTTACTGTGATCAGCAGGCACGCTGCAAGCAGCAATGTAGCCACTAGTGAAGTGTAAACTGGGGGCACCCAGTACAGCAGGACCGTGACAGCCAGAGGTGACCAAGTCCCTGTAGGCGGACAGCAGGACCAAACTGAGGAGCGGAGCTGCACATGGCTCTTGTAGGCAAGATGTTTCCTCACCGCTGAAAGACAGTGCAAAGCATGCACAACACTTCACCCAGCGGATGGCATCACTACTCAATCACTTAGCGTTAACCCCTTCTGCAGTAAAACCAACCAAGAATGGAGGCTTAGGGCACCCAACCCAGACAGCCTATTCACAAAGATTCTCTTCAGAAGCAGGGCAAATCTGAGACAATGCCGTGGCTTTGGACATGGAAAGGGCTCCACGTCTAACTTGTTACAAAGACAGGGATCAGAAAGCACCTTAAGTGGTAGCAGGTGCCAGAAGGTCACTTATAGACCAGCTTTAGCCGTGTCCGGGTACAACAACCCAAAGCTAGGTTGAGGAAAGGCTGATCCAGACAGCTGCCAAATAGAAACCAGCTCAAGCAGTGGTCTAACAAGAATCTTGATGGGAGAAAAACAATGCTAGCAAATTGGTGAGACTTTTCCCAGCAGAGCTGAGGAAAAGACATTCCTCCGCTA